TCTCACAGGGCACTCACTCACAGGGACTCTCACAGGGCACTCACTCACAGGCATCCTCACAGGGCACTCACTCACAGGGACTCTCACAGGGCACTCACTCACAGGCATTCTCACAGGGTACTCACTCACAGGGCACTCACCCACAGGCATCCTCACAGGGCACTTACTCACAGGGATTCTCACAGGGCACTCACTCACAGGGATTCTCACAGGGCACTCACTCACAGGCATCCTCACAGGGCACTCACTCACAGGCATTCTCACAGGGTGCTCACAGGGTAACCAGGGACTCGATTTCAGCCAAAGAGTAGAGTAAGAGATACATGGAAACAACAGAATTCCATAAATTCTCTTTATTTTAACATTAAAATCACTACATAAAAGATACTTTATTAATGGCTTTAACATATGAGCTCAATCATAAATATGTAATTGAATTATTAGGTAGATTCCAATGATTTACCATCACAGTAGGAGTCACAATAACACACAGGTTTTATACAGGATACGAATTCTGCAAGGGGCATAAAAACTTTACAACAACCTTTTAACGTCTTAAATATTTCTGCATAAAATATAAAAAGCTTATCTCCAAGTGACAGTGCTGAGTCCAAGAGGAAAACCATGTTTTATAGTTATGTGGTACACTTCAGATAGCAGTGTATTTCATTGACTTCTTAGTCTGCCTTAACACCTATTTTTACTTTTTTTTTTTGTTGTTCCTTCTCAGTATTCCAAAAGTGCAGCTCCCAAACCAAATTTTATTTCCACCCTGAAAGGAATTTGATAACAGCCATTGTCTGAATTTTAAATATATACACAACATTCATATCATTACCAAGTATAAGACTATGTTGAATATTTCTAAAATGTAAGGAATATACTCACAAATTCTGTCATATTTACAAAAATACACCTACACTGAAATTTCAGCATCCAGAGAGGTGCAACCATTTTAACATCTCATTTTCTTACTTTTTTTTCTGTGTGAACAAAATAGAGTCTTAATCGTCTTTGGTTGGGTACTATTGAAATAACAGCTAAATTTATAAAAGCATTAAATGAAAACTGCTAGTGTTCCACTATTTATAGACATGCTTTTTATTTTGTCTCCATATTTATGTCACCCAAAATATAGTCATTTTGGAAAGAGAAAACTTACATAAAAAAATGTTGAAAACCAAACATTTGCAAAGGGGAATGAACTCAGTTTTTGAGATTTCTTGCCAAACGGGTTCATTTTAATGAAATTACATTTTTACTTATCATAGGTTGGCCTGCTAAAGATGAACTCCAAAGAACATAATTCTGCTGTGTCTGTAAACACGTATGTAGGGGAGAGGAATTGATTACAACTAAACTCAAACTGTTATAAAATTATTTTATAGTCTCCTTTAATTTTTAGTGAGAACTTGGCCCCCATGCAGGAATGGTCATAGGTGATGTATAGGTCTAAAGGACTTTAACCATTAACAACCAGCAAGAGGACCGAGTTCTTACTTGCTAGCTGAACAGTAGTTACGGAGTAGAAGTGACTCAAAACAAGAAATCAAACAATAATTTCTATTTCTTTTAAGCCCAATAATTTCAGAATTTGATTCTGAATAAAAGAAACTTCCGACAATTGTACATTTGATTTTAATAACAGTTAATTGCTTGCTGTGTACATAAGCATTTCCCCCATCACTGTACACCAAATGTGTTTACTCTCTTGAAGTTGTCTTGATGTCATCCCATTAGTTACAAGCAATGGTTACGGACAGCATTCTCATTTGGGTTTCATCTTAGGAAGGGCAATAAAACCAAAACACCATACCAGAGAGCCTAGGGCTCCCTAGGGGAATCTGAGTTTGTTCAGCAGCTTTTCATCAAGTAATGGGGGAGCAGTGGAGTCCACAGCATCCCCAATGCAGATCCTACTGTGCGTTCAGAGTTAATACTTACCTCTACCTTTTAGCTATACTGATACCAATTCCTTGTTCAGGTTTCCTGGGAAACTCTGGGAAAACAGTTACAAGTATTTCCCTCCTTTCTCGTAATCCAACCTACCATCTAAGCACCAGTAATCACACCATGGAACCAGAGCAATTTGCTCATTTTCACCTCAGCTCTGCCAGCCAGTTTCCCAGGAATGATACTGCCGATGCTTTTTAGTCAATACAATGGGAGGTCAGCATGCACTGGTTAGAAAACCTTCACTAACCAGATTGGTATCTCTGGTCACAACTCATCCATGTGCCTCCACACCTCTTTTCTTAGACATTGGTAGCCTCTGAAAAAGAGTCAGTGGGGCCATTGTTCTTTTTAACTTCTAAGTTCTTTTTAGTCTTGAAGGTCATAGACACCTCCGAGTGAATGGCATCCATCCTCTGCTCACACCGGAAGGCAGAAAGGAAAGCCTTCCTATAGTTGCTGTTCATCCAGCCATAGAGAAGGGGGTTGGCAAAGGTGGAGCACATGGCAATAATGTGGAACACTGTGAAGATGAGTTTGTACTCCTTCAAGTCCAGGACATGGCTGTCAATGTCCACAGCAAGCTGGAAGGCATGGAGGGGCAGCCAGCTGACTGCAAACACCACTACCACACACACCAGCATTTTGGTTGTTTTGTGCCTTCGCTGATGGTAATGGTCACTTGCGGCTCCTGGGCTGACATGGTTCTTCAGCTTACTCCAGATACGGGCGTAGGAGAAAGATATGATGCCCAGAGGCAAAACGTACAGGATTAGTAAGGTGGACAGGCTGTAGACTGTGCCGTAGACACTCTTCTCCTCGCCAGGCCACTTCTCAGTACAGGCCACTATCTCAAAGTCAGGAATGATCTCAATCAGGGAGTACTCCCGGAAGATGGCCAGGGGGCTTGCCAGCAGGGCACTGATGCCCCAGGCCAGACCAATGATCAGGAAGCTGATTCGCTTGGAGATCTTGCTTTCCAGGTGGTAGACAATGCAGCGATGGCGGTCGAGAGCAATGACTGTCAGAGTTATTGTGGACACTTGTACTGCCAGACCCTGAGAATAGGGCACCAAATGGCACAGGACTGGACCCATTTTCCACTCCCCCATTAAGGTATAGGTAAGAGTGAATGGTAGGCACAGGGTATTCACCAAAAGATCCGCCACAGCCAGGTTGGCAATGAAAAAGTTGGTTACTGTGCGCATGCTCTTGAATTTGATCACCACATGGATTACCAGAGAGTTGCCAACAACCCCCAGCAAGATGATGGAGCAATAGGCCAATATGAGGACCACCTGCACCTCAACCAGCTTGGTGCTGTCTATGAGCTCCGGCTCGGGATCAGGGGGGAGCTCACCTCTAGGAGTGGTGTGCCCCGGCCCATAGAGCTCCACCTTCGCTTCTACAGTCTGGTTCTCATCTGCCTCTGCACCTACTGGGCCCATCTTCAGCACCACTTCAGTTTCACTTGGCCTCCCAATAGCACAAGAATCTACAATAAAAATAACACAGGAAACCACTAGTGAAACACACAGCCATCCGAAAGAAAGTTTATTCTGAGCTCCTCTAGATGGCTGCACTCTGATCTATAACACTGCAGACTACATAACAGCTGGATAAAGCAAGTCCTCCAAATAAGTCTATTCACAACTATGGATTGATTAAATCAAGTCTTTAAAATAACTGCAATCACGATAAGAATGCAGTTTTCTATAGGAGGGAACCAATTCCAGAATAAATGAGATCAAATAGATTCCATTTTAAAACAAAATGAATGGGATAAAATGTATCAATTTTACAATTGCTATGAAGCCAACAAGTTAACTCGAAGGAAAGTCTCACCCTCTTAGCTGTTTGGAGCTTATAAGCATACACCAGTACCCAGCATAGAAAAGGGACAGGCAACTCCCCTGTGCTCAGTGCCTGAGCTTTGGGAGAATAAAATAAGGCAAAACGGATGGATTCTCACATGGCCACTCTTTCTTTCACTTGTGCACATATGCCCACCCCCTCGTGTGTGTGTGTGTGTGTGTGTGTGTGTGTGTGTGTGTGTGTGTGTGTGCTCTTCCCCGCTGTGTGTGTGTGTGTTGGGGGGTGGCAAAAGTAAAGACCCATGGAAATGGTGTGTCATTTCTCTATCCCTTAGGTAAAAATTCATTTAGGTACCATTTCTCAGGTGCCATCCAGGTTGTTTTCTGAGAAAGGGCTTCTCACTGGCCTGGAATTCACCAACTATGCTGGTCTTTCTGATCAATAAGACCCACAGATCCATCTTTCTCCACCTCCCCAATACTAGCATTAGAAGCACACTGTTGTTTTGTTGTCGTCGTTGTCCCCCCCCCCCGCCCCCGAGCCGCCTGGTGTTTTAAATGGAACTCTGTGTAGAACAGTTGTTTTGTTTAAGGGTCTGAAAGTAACTCCCCACACAACACAGAGCAGCATCCTACAAAAGTAGTGCATTAAAAATATATCCAAGTCCAACCCCCGACACTTCTAAATAGAGAAGTTTGGGTGCCTTTCTTTCCTTCCTATGCTACACCCCAGAATCCCCCTGCCTGTGTGATCTGCTGCACTCAATACACGAATTAAAGCCCTTAAAGTTCAAAACAAAGAGATAAGTATTCTAGGTTTTCTTGTTTCCTTGAGGACCCCCCTCATGCTTTAAAGACCCCCAGACTGGTCCCCCACCTCTCTCCCACACACATCTCTTATCATTTCTATCACATTGGTTTTGTTTGGTTCAGTTTATAACCATAATTATTCTTATAGCCAAGTATCTTATTTCCAATTTTTCTTCCTGTTGCTTTCATTCATTGATTCAGTAGCTGAACAGGTAAAGTCATACACAATTCACCATGTTGGTTCTGACATCTACTGGGATGTGCTTTCAACAAACCCTTGCAAACCTGTATCCTGAAGGGAGGATCCTGCTGGGTGTTAAGGCAGCAGGTAATACCTCTACTAGATTGCTTATAATAATGCCTTTGCTTTTACTATAAATTCATTGTTAAGGGTATAAAAACACTCAGACTCAATATCCTAGTGGTAGTATTTGTGAATATACCCACAATCACAAAAGGCTTCTGTTATTAATTCAGAAGATCTTTTAATGAATTTCTTTATTAATCATAATAGCTTCTACGACAATTGGTAGATGAATCCTGTTTATTGAGCTTACAAATAATGCTGGCTGGCCCTGTGTGACCTCACTCCTCTTCCCATCTTTCCTTCCTCTGTCTTGCTCTGTACCACAGACCTGCACAGAACCTTCACTTTCAGGCTCCCAGATTATCAGGATTCTGGTTGGGTTGAATCAGTGGGAAGCACTTGGAGGTAATTAAAAAGCAGGAGGGGTTAGCAGAGCTGGCTCAGTGCATAAAGTGTTGGCTATGCAAGTGTGGAGATATGAAGAGAGCCCATTAAAGCTGGAAGCTTAATGCACATCTGTGATGCCAGGTCCTTTGCAAGATGGGAGATGCAGACAGGAGAATTCTTGGAAGCCTATGGGTCAGGTGTCCTGGTGGATGCAGTTGTGAACAAGAGACTCTGCCTCAAAAAGAATCAAGGTAGAAAGCAAGGATCTACACCTGAGGTGGTGCTCTGAGTTCCACATGTGTGCAATGTCACAACTGTATCCACACACACACACATACACACTTATGCTAAGTACACACATCATATATGCCCTACACACACATACAAACATACATAATACAAATACACATCATCCACACATATGCTACACACAGACATACATACATACCCTACACACACACACCACACCTGCATTCACACCCACTTATACATATGAACATGTATGTACACACATAATATATATAGATACATACCCTACATACATCACATACACATCCCCTACACACACACATCATATGCCCATAAGTAGTTTTTAAAAGAAAACTGCGTGAATAAAAAGCAGGAGGAAGGAAGACACCAACATGAGAATGTTTCCTGCAGATGGGGCTATTTCAAGGGTCTCGGTGACACTGCCTCCTCTTTATGTCCCTTCAGTTCAGGTAGTAAGGAGCCACTCTTGCAATCCTCAGAGAGGCCTGACTTTCGGTTTTCATCTCCCTACACTTATATAACCAATTCTCTGCACAGATTCCTTCTCTTCTACATCCCTGAATGGACTTTTTGTTTTGTTTTGTTTGTTTCATGATCTGCTCAAAGCACACTTGAATTTATTCTTCCACTAAAATATGGCTCAGCTCCTTAGTATGACATTCAGGGCTTGGTTGGTGACATCACTACAGAGGTGCTGTCCTGAGCTCCCTTGATATCCCAATAGACATCTGCTACTCTGTCAAACTGAATCCTACCAAATCTAGAACGTTCAGGCTTCCTCATGCCTCTCTTCCCTCCTTGTGGTGAACCAAAGAGTCTCTCTTTATCCTGGTTAGCTAAAAAACTTATGCTCATGTCTCCCACTGCCCCACAACACAGGCCACACTCTGATTGTCGTAGGAGAGCAACCTTTGTGAAGACAGAAACTGGAACTTCTTGATTTGTTGTTTAATCTCGAGGTACACCATCTAGTACATTAAAGACACTCAATAATTGGACAAAACCAATATAAAGAGAAACAAGAATACAATTTTACTAATAACTAATACCACCTGTTTAATATAAAATATAGTTTTGATTCTGTTCTTTACTGTATATAACAACAGACAGGATTCATTCTGTGCCACAGAAGCCTCATATTTGTTTTCTTGTTCTTAGTCAGGTACTTGCTTCTGTAAGAAGTTTGGCCTAAGACCCTCTTAATTCAGTTTTTGATTACAACCTTTTAAATTGCCTATCAGTATACTCCATATAGTAACTTTTCTCAAGTACTCGTGTCTATTTCTCTCTCCTCTGCTACACCCCTCCCCCCCCCCACACACACACACAACACAGAGCAGCATCCTGGGTCTGGGAGCTTTCTGTGTACTTATATTTGCTATACTGATGCATTCTACATAAGTCTACACACATGTGAAACAGAACATTCTAAGGATACCAGGCCCACTATCAATTATGGAAGCATGGCATTCAAATCGTGGCCTGTTTGATAGGCTGTACCATTTCCCTCAGACTAAGAGCCTGACTTTGTAGAGCACAGTGACTCACACCATACATGTCAACCCGAGTTGAGCAGAACACGGGAAGGTGGAGTTTGATGGTTGCCCAGATGGAACTGAGTGTAAGCACCAGATTTAAGGGCAGTGTGACAAGAGGATCATATTTGATTTGATTTTCCTTTTTTCATTTCAATTCTATTTACTTCACCCTGAAGTCCTTTTATTTACAGCTCTTCTGCAGGAATGGTTATTGATCTACAAGCTATTAGCATGTGAACACTATGATCTGTACCTAGGCACAGGACTAGCCTTGGGCTGGGGAGAAATGCTACCTGAACACAGAATTTATCATTCACTGCAGTGCTTCTGGAAAAGTGGGAGAGAAAAAGAGCACAAGAGAATTCTAGCACGTGTAATGCTTCTGCCTCAAGCTAGGAGCAGGCAGGGGAAGAGCCTTTCCTTGAAATAAGGCAAAATGAGACATTCAGGTTATTCAAGAAATTCAAAACTGTGAATGGTGCTGTTTTCTTGAACAGGTGCGCCTTAAACGAATTTGTTAAGAAAAGGGAATGATTTTTTTTTCTTCTTCTGAGGCTCAAGGTGCCTTGATGAGTCGGAGAGCTACTCATGCTTTGACTACATGTTGAAGTCTGTGGGTTTGCAAGTTATTTCTGCGACAGAATTACTCCAGGTGGGCAAAGCTTGGCATCCTATCAAGCACCTCTTCCAGGAATGTTTTCCTAGGTGCTACACACCTGTTAGTCTTTCTGGGAGGGGACATGGGATTTTAACATTGCTACATGCAAGGTATGATGGCTCATATAGAAGTCTGTGCATGCTTCTCTTTTCTGTATTTGAGCTTCCTTTCTGTGACAGTAATGCTGTCTCCTGCACATCGCTGAGATTTTAGTGACTGGCCCCAACTAGGAAAAGCTATTTAAATGTTAGTGTCACCCCTGCCACCCAACCTTAGATTTCTACTAGTGGGTGATTTCCACCTTAGGGAAATGAATGGAAGCCTAACTAAATATCTAATTTTGAACAGGTTTGGAATATTCAACATGACCTTGCACTTTAGAAGGTGTTTGATTTTTTTTTTAAAGAGGCAGCAGAATTGTGTCTTACTGTCTCAGACTATATAGTCCTTGGTCAAGGAACATTCAAGAACCTTCAGTAGAAAAGAAAAAGTCTAGCAAAAGAAGAAACAAAAGTGGTACTAGCCCCTCTAAGTCCCCTATTCCACCCAAAGTTGAGGTGGGAGGCTCCCTTTAGAAACACTGTGCCCTGTTCCCGCCGACAGGACCCCGGACAGGACCCTGGGCTCCCTTGGGGCTGTTCATGATCTCTGAAGGAGAACTGGAGTTTGAACTTACTGCGCCGCCGGCCCTTGCTTTTCAGCTGAGCCCAGGAAGCCAGGAGTGTGTAGCCAACGGATTGACGGCCCTGGGAGGCACCTGGAGCAGGTCCGCTTCTGTGTAGGACGGCGTAAGCAAGCAAGCAGGAACCGGAGCGGCCAAGCAGAGCCGCTACAAGGATGCAGCTGCCGGGCTTATCCCTGGACCTCTATGGCCACTGGATCCGAGATCCGCACTACATCGCGCGGATAGGAGAGAGTCGGGGGAGGGAGGAGGGTCGGAGATGGAGGTTGGAGACAACGCCGCTCTGGAAGGAAAGGACACAGGTACCAGGAGCGTTAGCCTCGCAAGGGGAGTGAGCCAGCTAAGATGTGGAGGCCAGGAACGCGGGGAGAGTGTCCGCCACCCCTGGTAGCCCGCGCGCATCTGCACCCTACGCAGCACAGCGCCCCATCGCACGTGGCCACCACTCCCAGCAGCTGCTACCCTCACTCCACTTAGGAGTTCATCAAATCTGCAGAGGAAAGTCTGGGGGCAGGAGCTGCGAGCCCCCGCTGCGCCCCCCTGCTGTGTGAACCAGGGACAGACACGTGGAGCTGGCGGGAGCCGGACTAGAGACTCCTCAATGCCCCGGGCACCTCAATGCCCTGGGGAATCCAACTTTGGTCTTCTGTGGTGAGTGAAGGCAGAGAGCTGGCTTCTGGCAGAAGCTGGATCCCAAGGACAAACAGTCAGCTCGACCGGCCAGAAAGCGCGCGGGCGCACGAGCTGCGGTGACCCAGTGATCGCGGGAAGGTAAAACAAGTCCAGAGCCTGGTGGTCCGGGAGCGGAGAAGCCTTTAACAGGTGTTGATGGAATCGTGCGGACTCAGATCACAAACTCGGTGTCCCGGAGGCCGACTGCCAAAAGCTGCCACCCAGAAGGAAAGCAGAGAACAAGAAAGGCAATGGGTCTTCAATAAAACAGTCTTTGTCCAGTTAGTTGATTTCAAAATTCTTCGCTCTTGGATCTGTCACTGTCCAATTTCACTGGCAATGTTCCTCTCTTTTGCTCCAATTTCCGCGTAGGAGTAAAACAGGACAGACTGGACTTCCAGTCACCAATGCTGGGAAGTGGGGGTGGGGGGGAGGCGAGGGAGTGGCTACTTCAACTTCACCCAGCAAACTCTTCATTCCAAGGCCGTCCTTCCTGAGGTTTGCTGCAGGTCTCTTTTCCGTCATCAATTTTAAAGGGGGCAGTAGAGTCTTAAAGTGAGGAAGCATGCAACTGGAAACCAGGACTGCCACAGTTCCCCTGTCTCCCAGCCTTGCACAGGTCACCTCATTCATTGCGTTAGTTTTATTTTGTTTTCAATTTCTGAGATGAAGATGCTCATACTAGTTCTTAAAATGTCTCTTAACTATGCAAAAAGATGATTTGCTTTAGATTAGATTTCTCTATCTAAAAATAAAGTTATACTTAGCGTTTTTTTTAAAAAAGATAATAAATACTCTCTCACGTATTCATTACCCCTTTCATATGGAATGGGTTTTCATGTATTCATTACTCCTTTCATGTGGAATGAGCTGCCCTGCAAAAATCTATACCCAATAGGGTCAGGGAACAGTATGACCCCTGAAAGTCATACACCCTAATTATACTTCATTTATAAGACATGTAATCTGAAATCAGTCTTCAATTCATGTAACATTATGCTAAAGAAGCTATCTATAAAACAGTGTTCTTTGGGTTTTTCAATTACCAATACACAAAAGTAAATAGGCATGGAAATAGACATCATATTTTACAAGCTCTGCTTAAATTCCTTTTAGGTTTTGGTTTGGAGAAATACCTCTTGCTCACACATAAGCTTTAACTGAACAGATTTCGAGGTTGCTTTTTTTTTAGGTGAGCCTGACACTTCACAAATGCTGAGTGAGTGCTCTGTTGCTGAACTAGCTTCACAGGTTCTCTTTTTTGTTTGTTTCTTTATTTGAGGACTGTGTCTTACTCAGTTTCCCAGGCTGGCCCAATCCTCTCTTGGTAGCCCCTGCTGGCCTTGAACCTGCTTAAGGCTCCTAGAGTTGGGTGCATGTGACGCCATTCGGGCCAGCTTTCCATGCTTTTGACTATCGGGAAGGTGAAGAATGAACTTTGTGTGTCTAACAAGTTAAACCTGGGAAGAGCAACATGGGGTTAGACAATAACCACAGAAGCAAATACACAGAACGCTGATGAGCAGTGTTGCCGAAAGTCATTGCTTTGGAGGCTTTTAAGCCATTTCTCTGGCAGTGGTTGTACAACATACTCCTCTCTCTTACATCATTGGCTTTCAAAGGCTTCAAAGCAAGTGTCTGTATATGAACATTGAACTCACTTCCTTATAGGCTCGCTGATACCTTAAAAGATTCACATGGTTCCATAGATTCTGATGAGCAACTCCAATGATAACAAATGACCTCCATGACGCGTGTCTTTCAATAAAGTATAGAATTGGATGAGAAGCTGATCCATGATGTGAAAGTCACTTCACAGTGCAACATATTGTCAACATAGTTGTGCCAACTGGTGACACTGCACATTCAGGTTCTAAGTAAAGTCCTTTAAGGCATATTTGTTACAAACCATAGGAACAATGAACCACTCTGTGGAAAGCCACACACCTATGTAAGTGGTGAAATAGTGGAAGGAGAGAATCTGTTCGTACACATAGTCATCTGAAGTCAACATACACCCCTACACACACACACACACACACACACACACACACACACACACACACACACAATGCTATTCTTTCTCTTTATCACCAACCAGCTCCCAAGTAAATGACATGGAGACTTCTTAATAATTATAAAAGCTCGGCCAATAACTTAGGCTTGTTTCTAACTAGCTCTTATAACTTAATTTAACCCATTTTTATTCATCTACATGTTGCCACATTGAGGAGCCCTGTACTAATACAAGTATAGACTCTGCATTGTGCACAAGCCATCCAAAGATGATTTTTTTTTTGTTTTATGTTTGAGTAGCTAAAATATATGTCACGTGTCTTGAACTTTTTCTAGGTTTTTTTTTTTCTTTATGTCTGTAGCCAGGATTTTCAGGGCATCTTCCCTGATCAAACATGATCTTTTTTAACCTGGAAGGAATCCAGTCTTTCATTTCCTGTGGAAACAAAAGCATAACCTCTTCCCCAAAGCAAAACTTTCATTTTAAACTTAAGGCATTCCTAAAGTGTCTAGGCTGGTTTAATTCAGCAGTTCCTTTCACTATCCCATGTCTCCCAGCAACTGTCATTTGCTTATCAGCAATCAAATAATATAAGGTCAATACAGCAACATACTGAATCCAAACTCCCTGTGTATTTCCCATCTCTAAGTGGCTTATTTTTTTTTTTTTACTTTACTTCTCTCTTTAAAGACTTTACTATTTTTTATGACTGTCTGTACCACACCTCCCTTTTTTTAAGTCTATGCACCTTGTTGAACACACTGGACCCTGTTTAGAGGTTTTTCCCATCTCTATGCATCTTTCCTGGGTATCTCTCTCCTTTTCTGACTGCATGAACCTTTAAACTGCTAAGTGGCATGGCTCGGACCTCAGCTGCAGCACTGGCTGCTGGCTCTGCCCCACTCCTCAGTCCATGAGAAACGAGCTCTATGCCCAGTGAAACTATGTCCTGTTGTTGTTATTGTTGTTGTTGTTGTTGTTAGCTTTCTCAGACCCTATGTTGAATTTGTTGCTAGTCTTTCTCTGTCCTGCCAGCCAGCTCCCAAATAAATGACATGGAGACTTCTTATTAATTATTAAAGTTCTGCCAGTAGCTTAGACTTGTTTCTAACTAGCTCTTATTACTTAAATTAACCCATTTTCATTCATCTACATGTTACCACATGACTTGGGGCTTTTACCTCTTTTCTTACGTGTCTGTTCCCTCTGTGTCAGATGGCAACTCAGCCCTTCTTCCTCCCAGTGTTTTCTCCGAAAGTACTACCTAGTTATTGGTTGTTCAGCTTTTTATTAAACCAATTCCAATCCAAGTGACATTTCTTCACAGAGTACAAAAAGATTATTCCAAACACACACACACAGACACGTCTACACACACACACACACACACACACACACACACACACACATACACACACATATACATCCATATATATATATATCCTACACACATTTGTGTAAATGTAATAGAAACATCTTTTAAATGAAATGGTACAAACTAATTTCTTAAAAGTCAAAATTCCAGGTGAGTATACCAAAATGAATGAGATGATAAGTAGATAGAAAGGTAGAAGAAAGAAAAAAGGGCAGAAAGGGGAGAGCAGTCCCCTGCACCCAAGGGAAATCTGCTCGGGGACCTCTAGGGGATGTCTGAAACCACAACAAAGCTTAATTTTCAAAAGTTCAGCAGAGAAGATACTAAGAACAATAATTAAGAATGAAATAGAACAATTATATTAATAGACTGTAGCAAACGTTTTATAAATACATCTCCCTTGAGTATCACACTGTAGCTAACTCGCCCCTTTCCTTGTCATGATGTGGGATATTGTCTCTCTTTGGCTCATCTCAATCCTATCACTATTGTACTTTAGAGCCATTGCTATATATAAAACAAAGGGTGCTCATCCACAGAACTTCAACACACCCATCACAGATGTGGCTACCAAGTGAAACTCAGACTGGTAGCATATGTATTATGGATTCACTAGACACAAAAATGACTCATACCCTGGTCAGGATAGATAAAGACAGCACAAAATTGCATCGTATTGCTCAGAACCACACGAAGTTTAAACTTATGTACTGTTTATTTCTGGAATGTTCTATGTAGTGGATAGAAAACTGAAATGGTGGAAAGTAAAACCTGCAATAAAGGGAAGACTAGATAGAGAGATATTTGCAGTCTAGACCATGAGCCTCGTGTCTTACAGCCTCTGGTGTTACTTGATAACTGATAAATCTCTCCAAATACTTAAATTTTTGGCTCCACCAAAATTTCCCCCACCCCACTGCCTATTCCTCAGCACATACAGATATCAAAGGCAGAGAGTCACAGATCAATTACCAAATGTATTAGCTTTCTATTACTACAGCTCAAACTGGAGGAACCAAGCATGGAGTGGGCAGATGTGTTTAGGCTCACAGTTTTGTGCCTTTGCCTTAGGTGGGGCAGCACGTCAGCATGGAACATACAGAGGATCAAAGCTATTGATCAGCACCCCTTACAGCCTGAGAGAGGGAGCAAGAAGGAAGAGGAGAGAGGGACAGAGGGAGAGAGGAGGAGAAGGTAAGGATGAACAGCAGTAGCTGGGTTCTCATAGCCCCTTCAGAGGCATACCCCCACTTCCAGAAGACTGACAGACTTACCTGCATCTCAGTTTCTTTCCCATCCCACCAGTGCAAGCCACAGGACATGCCTTCAACATATAATCCAGTTGGAGGACCTTATGGATCTCCAACCCCAAATAAGTCATTTCCCTTTTATTTCTGGTTGAACTGGTATCCAC